TAAATGCTTGATCACTGTTTACTGCTATGTTTAAACGTACAAACATCTTCCTTGTGAGAGTTTTCTCCTATACCCAGGTCTTCTTCTTTATACCCTTTTGTACGCAACCCTTGTATTCTGTAAAACATATTGATTGTACATTCGTAAAGAATAAAATTGAGTTCATTTATAATTCACTATTTTTTTTTAATTTCTAGACTTTGTATTCAGATGTAGCGAGTTTGTTATTCATTGGATATTTTTATTTCGGATTTTGAAAAATTTCATTACATTGCAGCATAATATTTTGAGTTTCTTGAAACTATACTGGATTTTAATACATCATTATTTGTTTGAAACTACAGCAAAAGCATATGAATGAAGAAAAGATTAAGGAAAATTGAAAGGAAGAATACAAACGTATTGGTATCAGTATTTCATTATATATATTAAACTATGTGTATGCTGTGTACTTATTGAATTGTATTTTTAGCGTGATTTCCAGAACGAAAATTGCATTGCAACAATTTTATTTTTCGAGAAAAACCCACAAGTAAGTCAATTATTCATTTGCAAAATATAATTGACACATTTTATGTAATATCTGACCATTATAAAAATTAATGTAGTGAATGCATGGAATATTATACTGTTTATACACAGTTTTAGCGGTATTTGATATTTCGTATGCATAAAGCAACATACGTAAAATCACAAAAAATACTGAACTCCGAAGAAAATGCAAAACGGAAAGTCCCTAATCAAATGGCAAAATCAAAAGCTCAAACACATCAAACGAATGGACAACAACTGTCATATTCCTGACTTGGTACAGGCATTTCTTATGTAGAAAATGGTGGATTAAACCTGGTTTTATAGCTAGCCAAACCTCACACTTTTATGACAGTCGCATAAAATTCCATTATATTGACATCTATGTGTGAACAAAACAAACAGACATAATAGGTAAAAATGTCAAAAATAGGGGTACAGCAGTCAACATTGTGTTATTATCTTAATCACTATAAATACAAACAAATATGTAAACAAACATTTACCATGGCACAATAACACAATGACGGGATGTATAAGTAGAGAGCCACGTCATATGTAACATATAAAACACAAAAATTCATATTGACAAAGCATATTAGCAAAAATGAAAGACAAGAATACAGAAATTATCATAGAACAATAACACAATGACGGGATGTATAAGTACAGAGACACGTCAAATGAACACCACCTAAAACAGACTAAACAGTAAAAATAATATTCACTATAAGACAAATAAAAGAATTTTATAACACGTTATTAAGATGATAAACAACGTCAGTACCCAGAATATATACTTCAAGACCAACTGTACGGCGACCATATGCTGTTTTGGTGAGTTTATTAACCATATATATGAATAATTTCAATAACAGCTGTATCGCTTGGTAACCTTTCGACATTAACGATAATATCAGAAGTATCATGCATTCTAATGCATTTGTAATGGGAGATGGAATATGATTGGTCGATACTTCTGCTGGTTAACTGTTAGTCCTAGCATCACTGTAAAGAAATTCATCGTCTAAATGCGCATCTGGCGCAATACAATTAATACTGTTCATGAACGTCACCGCTGTTTTGTATTAGGTTAATCGTTTATGTATTGGATAGTCTCCCGTTAATCAGATAGAGGGAGAGAAATCTCATATGAGACGAACGACATTGCCTTTTCGATGAAGAGTAAGAATGATCTGCCCTGGTATGGTACCATTTTCTCTTGGGGATTGCTACATTCTGCGGAAGTACGTTGATCAATATTGCAGCCCAGAACACCGATCACTTTTGCTTCAGCTCGCATGTATGTGCAAATATACGTTAACATGGATAAGCACAATTCATAAACTTAAATCAACATGCTAAACTAAATCATCATTCGTTTGTTTTCTAGAACGACTATTGTTTAAGATGTGCAATCATGAATATGATGTGCGAGTACATTTAAATGAAGTGACAAAGACTAGAACAAGTAAATTCAAAAGATTTATTTGCTGCAATAAAAGTAAGTATCCACACACTTGACTGAATACATAAAGCAAAAAAAGTTAACATTAAAGAAGTATTTATTTAATTACTCTTATATATCATGACAATGCTTTATAATACTTTAAAACAAGGCACGTTAAGAAATTATTGCTCTGAATGTCGATTATAATTAATACCTTTTATATTTTCTCCATAACAATGGGATTCAAGCAATTTTGCTGATGAAAATCAATCAACTAATAAACATCTCCAATTTTAGAACTGTTTACTTACGTATTAGTTTTTACAGACAGTCTTAAGAAATAATTGAAGAAGGTAGAGTTTAAAATTGATAATTAATAGAAAAACAAAAGACATGGGGTATCAATCCATAACCTTATTTCTCTTCGGTGTGCTTGGTTGCAGATAACGATAAAAAACGACCAACCACTTCAGATAAAAGTAAGTGCGAAACTGTTTTTATAATTTGTAAGCTTTTTCGTCGTCCGCCGTAGCCTACCAATATTCAAACGTCATAAATCCATTATGAAAAAAGTAAAAAAGCAAAAATACCGAATTCCGAGGAAAATTCAAAAAGGAAAGTCCTTTATCAAATTACAACATCAAAAACTCAAACACATCAAACGAATGGAAAGCAACTGTCATATTCCTGACTTGGTACAGGCATTTCCTCATGTAGAAAATGGTGGATTAAACCTGGTTTTATATCTAGATAAACCTCTCACCTGTATGACAGTCGCATAGAATTCCATTAAATTGACAAAAATGTGTGAGCAAAATAAACATACATATTAGGTAAAATTGTCAAACATTAGGGTACAGCAGTCAACATTGTGTTATAATCTTAATCACCTTAAAAACAAATAACTATTTCAACAATGTAGACACTCTATAGAAAACAAGTACATAAACAAATGAAAGACACGAATACAACAAATTACTGTTATAGCACCATAGCATATTGGTGGGATGTATCAATACCGAGCCACAACAAAAGTATATTACAAAAAATGGACTAAACAGTAAAGGCTAAAAATATACAAAGACAAATAAAAACGCTATAACACATTATTAAGATGACAAACAACGTTAGTACCTAGAATCTATATTTCAAGACCATTATGTATCATTTAGGAAGTTTATACGGAATATCAACAAGATCTTGTTAGACAACAAAAGGTATAAAAAAAACCTGACCGGAAAATATACTGATCAGACGACTATTACAGTTTTAAAGATCTATGAACGTGAAAACATATTGCTAGAGAGTTGAGACACATACACATCGTATCGGTCAATCAATTCGAGAAGCTGGCCGTAAAGCGTATGTAGCCACAGTGTAGATTTAAGTCTTTGCTCCTTAAACTTGTAGTTGCATACTTTTGTTTCAAAAGCACTCACCTGTTTATGAATTCTGAAGTGATTAAATTTAATTAGTATGAATTTAACTATGACGCTAATCTGTGACAAATATTTCAGTTAATAATACAAAATGGTTTTACATGAAAACAGACTGTAAATATTGTGTATTAATTTTTATTTTATTTTTAACTTTGTGTTTTGGCAGAAAGAATGGTTTGAGATCAAAAACGTCTGCTTTCTAATAAATTTAAAGTAAAAACTACTGGTGATATTTCAATCTGTAGTTAGAACCGATTTTTATATAACATATGCTATATATGAGGCACTCAAAAGTAAAATATTGATTTAACCCTGCTTGTTTAAATGGATATCTTTCTTAGAGAAATATGCTGTTTATTTTTATATATTTTAGGGTATCTCGGTGAGAGGTTGTATACGTCGTCATATTCTTCGTATATATACATGTAAGCACCTAGTCAAGAGAGATTCAGGGAAGTAAAATATGAGCAAAATCGATTTTTGTATGCCTTTTAGACAAACACTTTCCAAAAAAGATATTACACATTTTCGAACAGACCTCATTTTGATGTAAGCATTTAAGGCAAATATTTCGAGAAGACCACATATGTATGAACAAAAATCCGTCGATCCACTCTAACAAGTTTTTAAAAAAATGATAAAATCCTTTAAAAAATCAAAAAAACACTGTAAAATTATTTTCTTTTCTATCGTTAAATCTCAACATATTTACTCAACAAAAACATATGATACATTAGAAATCCATGAAATATCACTATAACCATGATAACAGGCTTCAAATGCAGTTTCAACCATGCAATATGAAAACAAAACAATGTGCATTTCTATGTTTATTCAAATACACATATTTTCACTGATACTATATTAAAAATGTACGTTTAAAATTCCCTTAACAACTTTTAAAATGAATGTTTTGTCTGAAACAAAAGAAAAGAGTTTCTTTTCTATTGTTCCCAAATCACTAGTTTACATATTTAATGGGAATTGTATAAAAAGATGCAGACTCAACAAAATACCATTGAAGGTTACAAGAGCGCAATTATTCGTAATGCATTTTCCATAGAGTACCAGTGGTGTTCCGTATTTAATTTCGTGAAGACTACACAAACTTGGAAAAATGGGTAGCAGTTCCGTTACTAGAAATGCCAGTGTTGCATAACAACCAAAAAATACATATGGTCATGCGGCAAAAATTGACTTCAAATGCAGTTGAAAAAGATCGTATTTTTTTTTTTTTTTTCGCTTAATGAAAAATGTAAATTTTTGATGGCTCCGACGTGCAGACATGGAAGATATTTTCTATACTTTGTAAAATGTGAATTTGATTTTCAGGATTTTTTTAACCTAATGTTATAAGCTTTCGATTAAAAGTAATTCCAATCCTGTATCATCCAATCAGAAGCCGTACAGGATTCTATATGAGTACCATCTTGCCATCTTGGGGTAAAAAGCTTACCAGTAAAATGTAAACAAATAATTGCACTCTTGTAACCTATAACTAGCCTTACACTTAAATAGCCATGGCAAGCTCTTAAAAAAGCTAATAGTTGTTTATATTATAACTGTGACTACGTCAGTCATGTGACTGATCGATATCGCTTACAAACTTCCTTGTTTCGTTGAAGGTTTGTACATTTTATGATCTTTATTGAAACTTCAAGAATAAGTTAATAATCTTAAATTTTGTAATTATTGCGGGTAAACATTATACTATTGTTATGTTTATAAACATTAATGATTAAAAGATTTGATATGATTGCCAATGAAACAACTCTCCACCTGACACCAAATGACGTTAAAGTTAAAAACTATAGCATGTATTCTCGATTTTATAGGTTACTGTTCGGCCTTCAACAATGCGCAAAACCTATATCGAAACGAAATCACAAGTGGCTATGTATATCAAAAGTAAACTTAAATTTAACGATAGTTGTACAGCTACACATTTTGAAATAGTTATAGTTCAGGGGATTTGTCAAAGGCCCCGATTTGTCTGAATTTCCATCTTTATATAGACACTTGTTAACTTGCAAGCATTTTACCGATTGTGTCTGTTTGTTTTGTTCACTCATCATTGTCAATATAATGGAATTTGATGTGACTGTCATACAAGTGAGAGGTTTAGCTAGCTATAACACCAGGTTCAATCCACCATTTTCTACATAAGAAAATGCCTGTACCAAGTCAGGAATATGACAGTTGTTATCCATTCGTTTGATGTGTTTGAACTTTGATTTTGCTATTTGATTAGGGACTTTCTTTTTTGAATTTTCCTCGGAGTTCAGTATTTTTGTGATTTTACTTTTTTTTTCATAACAGGGTTGGAAACTTGCATGTTTCATATTTTTGAGAATTATTATGATTATTCAATTAAGAATTTGTATTGCCGACTCGATCACCTTTGTTGTGATTGCAGAAATTGACAGTATGAAAATGAAATTGAAATATAACAAAATGTTACGAAATTCATACTTTATGGAATGCATGGGGAAAACATGAAAATCATCATTTTTGCACAGTTTAAAATTCAATGAAAAAGGATGTCTATGTATATCGTTGATAATTAAGGTGTATTATAAAATATTCTGAACATTGTCAACAGGTGGGAAAATTAGGTGGATTTATTTCCTAATTTCTTCATGCAAAAGCAACTGAGATGGATATGCTTTTATTGTTTTAATGTCTTAATTGAAATCATAGCTTAATATGCAATTAATACACCTACAGCAATATGTAACACGTGCTGGGTTTACAGGTTCAATTATATCAAAATAACTATCAATCAACTTTAAATAAAAAAAAATCTATTTTCTTGGGTCACCATGGTCACTGCAAATCTGGAATAAGTAAATATGGGGAATACATTGCTACATGTGCTAGATTTTTGTTAATTCCATGCATCTGTTAAAACAAACAGAGTGTGGTTATTTTCCAAATTGTAAACGCGATTACTTTTAAGGAACTTTTTTTTAGGAAGCAGCAACACATTCTCATGATACCAAAAAAATATGTTCTTGAAGTTCTTTCCAATCCGCTGATACACATGCCTATCTTTTGAGGGAATCGGGGACTAGAACCGCGTTTTGGAAAGAGCAATAATAGCTGGAGAACCTCTTCCGATCCTGTGATGTTTCACTGTAAAGAATTGTTTGAAAGGCTTGCCTCAATCTGAACGATATATCCTCAAATAAGCAATGTATTTAACTGTAGTTGAGGTTTGGAAAAAAAAACTAAACTCCGTAAGTTGCAATTTGGTTAATCATTGTATACCGTAACTCCATATATCCCTTTTGAATATCATGATTACCTACACAAAGTAATAAAACATAAAAAGGAAAAAAAGAATCAACAAAACATTGTGTTGGTCATTAAACCACGCCAACTACCAAATACCCGACTTCTATATAAAACAAGTATAACATATGTATAAACATGATGAAAGCAAATAAAACAACACGTGGTTTCTCATTACAAACACAATATGTTGGTTGCTTAAACCAGATTTACGTGTGCACGGACATCCCCCTTTTATGTATTGAAATAACCAAGCCTCTAATTAAAACAGAGAAAGACAGATTATGGATGCTAAGCTGCGTATTTTGCTTGGCTTCAAACTTTTAATTATATGTTGTACAAAATTCATAGATATAATTGTTTTCACTTTTATAATATTTTCATGTTTTGTCTTGAAATCCTTTTTGTTTATGGTAAATTAGTGTTGTCGTTTTCATACAATGTAAGATTAAGATAGGTAAATGATTAATAAAATAACAGCCTTGTTAAATGATTTGTCAAGACATCTTTATGAATTCCAATTGGTGGTATTTTTTTAAAAATCTAATTACCTTTGCTAAATTTAATGGAAAAGTGTCCTCACCAACTAAAACATCTCAAATACTGTTTCTTTGTTGAACGTTTTTGAGTTTCTATTGAAACTTTATACCGGTTTTATTGATATTTCAATACCATACAGACTTTGATGCATGTACCATAAACCAAGAGACTGATAAAAACGTAATAAGTGTTCATAATTTGCCGGATAGCATGATATCATATCATATCAGGTTAAGAATTTTAAACGTATAGAATTAGTTGATACATAATGGTTTTACGTGTACCTGTGTTGTATTATGTTTTAATTCACTGGGGTTTTTTTCTTAACAGTTTGTTATCATGGGAATAATTGTTTCATTCTCTTTTTTTTTTCTCCGTATGTATACCTGATTTTGGAATTACTATTTACAAAACAATTGATAATAGAAACGACTTGACATGAATAAAATATAAGTATTTCTTTTGAGCATTGAATAGTAGGATAAAAATATCAATTTTGCGTGTTTCTCAAAATAGCTACATATTAAGTTCTTTTGTAGTTATTTACAGGTGTTAAAAAACGAATGTGCAGTATACGTAATTGATACAGCAACCTAATATTAACATTTTAATAGCAATGCTTTCAACGTGTATTACAGTACATTAATTGGTATTAACCAAACCTGTTTGTCTGCCAGACAAAGAGACAATAAAAAATAGGCCATTGAAATTAATATCGTTGAAAAGAAAAAGAATCATCGATAAAAGGAAAAAAGAAAATGAACAGAAATTGAACAACACTAACCAAATCAAAACACCAACAGAAAATCAGATTTTTCTGTAAGCGAATCAGCATGTTCTGCTTTACAAATTGCACCTGGTACATATCCCATTGTATTACCAAATGATTCTTAATCATCAAAAAATCTTTTAACGATTTAGGGTTGCATGGTAGATATTTCTCATAAAAGTATAAGACTAGACTATATTAACAAACCCTCAGTACATTTCTTTATCTCCATCTTGCCATATAACACCTTAAGTCTTCAGGTACTAAAACATCCTTGGCTTTCAAAATTGGGATTTTTAATGGAGATAAACCAGATTAACGCATCCATTGCAGCAACTATTCAAAGACAATTAAGTGAAATTTTTACTTTTTACTCAACATAAAAACTTATGGTCAATTAAAACATCACACATCTTGATTGTGTCAGGTTAAGATAATTATGTGGTAAACTCAACTATTTTTTTTAAGTAAGATATACTAATTTTTAAAACAAGATGCTTGTATCCACGATGTCGATCTCTCTCTTTCATTTTAAAAGGTCGCCAATAGTTTTTGAATGAGCAATAAGTGTGTTAAAGAGAGCCAACAGATTTTCAAACTAAAAAAAAAACAGATAACGCAATTGTATTAATACGAGACAAAAAGACAAACAACAGTATGCAAATCACAACATAGAAAAACTTATCAACACGAACTCCACGATTATTCAGGGGGGACTTCAGATGCTCCGGACGGGTACGTGATTCAACTCCATATGTGGCATTCATCGTGTTGCTCATGTAAGTTTCTACCAGGCAATACGACTAATTTGGTGGGTCACATTTGGGTGAAAAGAAAATGAGAAAATGGTTAAGACGATTGGGGTATATCCTTCGTTATTTTTGAAATCCTGAAAATTTGTTATCTAAAATATCAACTGTGATGCAATAAAAAAATACTCACTCTCTAAAAATGTCCAGTTTTAAGTGTACTATCTAATTTGTCTGGGCGGGAGTGTATTGTTTATAATTGAATTTAGTCCTTATTATTTTAAATGAAATACCGATTGTCGCCTGATTTTCAAATTGAGATATACTGGTGCATATGTCTTATGTGTGCAACAACTAAATCTAGAGACAAACAATCACAAATCTTTACGAATGTTGCCATGGCGATAACTTACTCATGTACCAAAACACATTAATTTTTCGCTCGTTGCACATGTTGTATCTCTTGTATACGTTGCTTGAACATGCCCTATTATTCGTGCTAAAGCACATAATCATGAGAGGTTCAGTAAAAATGTAAGGAAAATCAATTGATAATCGCAGTTTAGATTAACACTTGAATTTCGGGAAAAAAGAAACAGGACCTCATTTCGTTGTACACAATTGAAATGAATGATTCGAGAAGACTATATATATATATGCATGTATAAACAAAACTCTAGTCGACCAATCCAAAATTTGTTTTTAAAAATGGGAAAGTCTTGAAACGAATAACCATTTTTGAAAAGTTATTTTCCTTTTTATCTTCTTGCTTGAACAGTTATCAATTTTCAATCGTTCCATTCACACAAAGACAGTTTGATACATAGGAAATCCATGAAATATCAATATGATAGGTTTCCAATGATATAATATCAACAAATATTGAAAACAAAACAATAGTTATCTAAACTAACATAGTTAAATGATAATTTATTAAAATTGTACGATTGTGGATAAGAAATAACCTTTAAGTCAGGAATCTGATTACTGTAGTTGTCGTCTGATTATGTAGTTCATACGTGTTTCTCGTTTCTCGTTTCTATATAGATTAGACCGTTGGTTTTTCCGTTTGAATGGTTTTACACTAGTAATTTTTTGGGGGCCTTTATAGCTTGCTGTTCGGTGTGAGCCAATGCTCCGTGTTGAAGGCCGTACCTTGACCTATAATGGTTTACTTTTATAGAGTGTAACTTGGATGGAGAGTTGTCTCATTGGCACTCATACCACATCTTCCTATATCTAATTACAAGTGGTTGGCTAAATTTAGGTTTGCATAAAGATGTAGCAAGAGTGTTCATAGGTCAATAACAATTTTTGTTCTAATTTTTATCAGCGATAACTATATGTTGTTGATACATAAATTTCCGTTATAATGATGTAAAATAAAGATAGAGTTACCGACTTCTATTTTATGGTATTATTCAAAGCTGTGTTCTTTGTGAAAAAAAATCATCAAAACGTCAAAATAATCGTAACGTCACCGCGTTGCAGGCCTTAAAACGTTGATTTTTGACGTTTTTTACTACCAGCAAGGTAACAAATTGATTATTAGACAAAAAACGAAGTTGGTGACTATATGAATGTTTTACATTATTAAAACAGAAATTTATGTATCAACAACATATAGTTTTTTAAGAAAATCTATGGAGTAGATTTAGATATTTGGCGATTTTAAGACAAATGTTAGAAGGTTTTTCGCTGATTTTAAGTGCTTTCTATACAAATATTTGCACATCTTAAAAAAAATCAATCTGCAATTTTTTAGATCATAAAAGTGATAAATGCATTACTTTTTCAGTTGTAGTTCAACGGGCCAAGGTTGTATGCAAAATTTTAGCAAAATCTGTGGCATAGCCCATTTACTGTTCCTTGACCTTAATACATAAAAAAATGATTTTGTTATCTTGTCAAAAAATAATTGAGTTATATTGTTCCTGCATCATCAGTTTACAAATTGAACTGGATAAAAGTTATGCAAAAATCATCATGTTTACATGGTTTAGTAATCAATCTCGAGTTACTATTTTTATCATGATCAGAATGTTAGTAAATAAAATCCCAACATCTACGTTGTTAATTGATGCCATGAAAATTAGTGACGTTATCCAATCAAAATTAATATTACAAACGATTTTGCATTAGAATATTTGTTGTTCTACGTCAGTCATGTGATTGATCAATATCGCTGACAGACTTCCTTGTATGGTTGTAGGTTTGTGTTTTTTTAATAATCTTTATTGATACTTCTAGAATATTTTTGTTTATCTGAAGTTTTTCAATTATTGCAGATTATTTATATGAAACCATAACTACATGTATGTTGATACACAGCTCCATGTAAATTACATTTATTGGGATGAAACTGTTAGAGGAATTAGGTCAATAGAATAGTATTACTATATTTCAATGCCTCTTATCGACAGTAATTTCCTTCAGCGATGCTTTCAAAGCATACAATAAGTTTCCGATCACCACCCTTGTGATTGCAGAAAATGACAACTAATAATAAAGTTAAAATATAACCAAAAAAACACTAGGTTCAGACGGAGAACAAAGTAAACTGTCGGTGTTTTTTTCTCATTATAAGATTCAGTGAAATGTGACGTATATTTTGGTATTTATAAACATTTTGAACATTGTCTGCGGTTATGAAAATTCGTATTGTTCCAAATTTCATTATGCATAACAACCAAAATGAATAGATTTTTTTTTTGATAAACATTTTTAGATTGAAATCAAATGCATAATAGGAAATGTATAAACCTACAGTTATATATAACAAGATTCACAATCACATGTAATGTTGAAATAAAAATTACTGTCAATCAATTTTGAAGTAAATAAATTTTTTTATCTTGAGTCACTAAAAATCACGAATGGGTAAACATGATAAATACCATTACTAGATTTACAACTGCAGTTGATTTCTAAATCGTAAATGCGGTTACTTTCTAGGAACACAATGTATTCATATCCATGGTTTAACTTATATAATTTTTTTTACCCTATTAATGATAACATAAAAATTGAATGTATTGTAACTCTGTATATTTTAATTCAGAATTAAAAGTGTGTATAAAATTTGATGTTGAAGATACCAAAACAACGTCAAAGTTTGTTACACGGTGTGTTAAATGGGATTCATAATCCTGAGATTAATTTACGCCTTAAACAAATAATTAAAAAATGGATAACGAGCCAACGAACAACATGGCTGAAAACCAACAGTAAAAAAATATCAGATTAAAACATTGGCCAATATGAGTATTTGCCAGATATTTGAAATGATGTCAAAGGCACCGAAAAAAAACATCAAAGAGTCAGATATATTTATGTCATAGATAATGCATATTTTAAGGTTTTTCTTGTCGTAGAACACACCGAGGGGTGTCATGATTGACCAAATGAAAGACCGACCGTAGGGAGGTTTTTCTTTTGGCAATCCTTACACCCCGAGGTGTGTTCTACGACAAGAAAAACCTTAAAATATGCATTATCAGACTTATATACCGTCAAAAAAATATTGTTTTTAATAAAGATTTGCAAAAGTAAGCATCCTATTTTACCGACCACACTAAAGTGGGATATTCCTTTCTGATGCGTTCAGGTTTTAATACGCCCTACGGCTCATTTAGAAACTGAAATAAAACTCACTAATTAATCTAGATATAAACCTTAGAAATTATTATCCATTCAAAATAAAAATATTACTGTAGCTGCATGAAGTAAGACACAAATGAATTGTTATCATCTGATAACGGTGTATGAAAAATACAAGACACTTTGTAAGTAATGTATTGTACCAACTTAGTTGATGGAAAGGGGGAGGTGCTATGTTTATTTTATTTTTGTCTATTTGTAATGACATTTTATAGCGGAAAAGTGATTATTTTTTCAACAATTTTAATTGAATCGAACGAAATATTCAGAATGATTTTCTTTTGAATAGCAATACATTTTTTCAACAGATAATCAGGAAATAATTATATACCCTCCCCCCACCCGACATCATTGTGAGGTACGTGAACGTATTCGGTAGAATATAAGAATATTTTATTAGTTAATCATTTGATAGAGTAAAAGGTATACATAAATGTAAAATAGTTAAGAACTGACACGAAAGGGGCACGAAATCGTGATACATGTACATGTTACACGAAAACGAATATCAATACATGTAGGTCACAGTATGATTTCCTATTCAGTGTGCATCGTCCTGAACATGTATGAAATATTTGCCACTGGACTTTAAGTAACCAATAGTCAATCAACCTATTCAGTGTGAATCAATAAGATTTTCAAAATCTTACACGCGAATATGTTAAATCTGGCTTTATTTTAAAGTGTTATGAAAGTTTTAAATTAAAATTCATCTCGCATATATGATAATGTTTCTGTATTGTAGCGATAAATTAACAAAACTTCACATTATTTGTTTTTAAAATTAAAATTCGGGCAATGACGATTTTTTTTTTACACCAATCATAGATTTAACTTTAAAAAATAAATTCCAAAATCGGCAGCAGAAACTATCAGACGAATATGATTTTGAAGTAAATTATAGTTTGAATTTGTATCAACGAAAATAATGACCTCACACAGGTCATTATTTTATGCCTTGGAGCATATTTCATTGGAACATGGTATCGTCCGGGTTGATTCTTCGAAAGAATGACTTATCGTTCTGAAAGAAAATAACTCCATATAGGTATATAAGATACTGTAATTCCTAGAAAAAAAATGTTTGTAACGTATTGGTTATAGTTTGAACGTCATAGCTTTAGAATTCCTGAATACAATTAAAGTAACGTACACATCTATTGATTTTACAGTTAATTGCGTCTTCAATGGCTACAAGTACACCAGTATGTGCCATATGTGATCTTCGGCATGTCACATCACGGTCCATACACTGGTGCCCAGAATGTGAGGAAGCACTGTGTTCTGACTGTAGTGAACATCACAGTTTGTCAAAGGGAACACGAGGTCACAAAACCATCCCTGTATCACAATATCAATCCTTACCGACGTTTGTTACCGATATACAACAATTCTGTTTATACCATAATGAAAAGTACCAACAATATTGTATGACACACGAATGTCCAATTTGTTATAAATGCATTAAGGAGCATGGAAAATGTAATGACGTAATTCCTCTTGAAGACGTAACTAGCGAAGTCAAAAGTTCTGCACTCTTTCAAGATTTAGAAGTAAGTTTGTTAGATGTACTTGAAAACATCAAGCGAATTCGAGAAGAGAGAGAGAACAATGTTAAATCGATTCAGACTCAGAAGAAGATGATTACCATGGAAATTGATAGCATCAAAACGCGAGTAAACCAACATCTCGACAAACTGAAAGATTCCGTTATTAAAGAATTGGAAGAAGTATACGATGACTATTACGGTCACATTCAATCAATTATTTCTTCTCTTAAAATTCAAGAACATGAGATTAAACATTGCAGCATGGAATTCGAGAGCATAATCAAATACGCTTCCGATCTCCAAACTTTCCTTAGTATGAGGGAAATTCAGTCAAAGATCACTGATCATGAAAGTCGTCTAAAGTCAATGATTGCAAATAAAAGTCTGGAAAATGCTGATATACAATTCACAATAGATGAAAAGGTATCGGATATACTTACATCGATAAAAACATTTGGTTTAATCGCAATTAAGAAAAGTACATCTGTTTGCACCAATATTTCTAGCAAAAAGACAAGACAGGCTCAGATATCAGCTCCCAACAGAATGTATTCAATTAACACCATCGTAGTGGAACTCAACAAGAAATTGGCAACAAAATGTAGATGGCCCCGTGGATGTTTGATAACACAAAAAGGTTTGTTCATTTTCACAGATACCTCCGGTTCCAAAGAAAAGCTAGAAGCAATAAACGGCCAAGGTAAAACTGAATATACCATCCAACTGTCGACACCAAGTGGCAAATACGGCGCCTTTGATGTAGAATTAATCAATGATGATACAGTGGCAGTAACTACTGGCAACCAATTCGTATTTGGACAACGCAGTGGTATCAGTGTTGTTGATCTAACGAATAGAAAAGTAATTAAGTTCATTGACTTACCTGGCTACTCCTATGGCATCACACATGACGGTACATCATTGATCTGCTGTGTCAAAGGCAAAGATATACATGTCATAAGATGTACAGACTACTGTGTTACTACTATCCCTAACACTGTCTTACCTCAGTACTCATACGTCACAACGCATGAAGACAAAATTTTGTTTACCAATCCGGATAAACACAAAGTATTTTGCTGTTTATACGATGGAACACTAGTATGGGAGTTTCATGATAAATCAGTTATTATGATGCCGAAAGGGATTACTGTAGACAACAAGGGAAATATATTCGTCGTTGGGTGTGAATCGCGTAATGTTCTCATCATATCTTCTGATGGAAAACAATATAAACAAATAATCAACAAGGAAAATTGTCTCAATGATCCATATGCAATTTTCTTTGACAAGCTTAGGAATCAGCTTCTAGTGACAAATTACCCACTCGATCCTTTTCTTTATAATATTTCACACATGTAGAAGTGATTTTATTAAACAAAACATTTATTACCTTTAACATATTATATAACAATAAATATAACATACACATAACAAAATATATAAAATTGAGAATGGAAATGAGGAATATGTCAAAGAGACAACAACCCGACCAAAGAGCAGACAACAGCCGACGGCCACCAATGGGTCTTCAACGTAGCGAGAAAATCCCGCAACACCATATAATATACTTTGCAACAACATATATAAAATGTATTAAAGATCAGAAGTTTAACAGGTTAAATTAAGCATTATATCTATAGTAAGTGAAGTGAGTTGACCATTTGTTTTTCCTTCCATAGCAAATTTTGTATATGATATAAAAAAAAAGTGAAAATAGTGTTTCTTTTGAGCATTAATTTCTTCGGCGTGTTTCTAAAACTAATTCTGTATAAAAAAAAAAAAAAAATGCGCTGTGTACGTTATTGATGCAGCAACATACGATTATATTCTAATGACTATACTTTAAATATATCATAGTAGATATTTTGCCGTCAATCCAACTTGTGTGTCAGCCGATGGCGATATATTGTGTATTTGTCTAAACTTAGATACCAAGGATACCATCATAAATCAAAGGATGACAGACAAACGATAATAGAAGAAGAGATAACCAATAATTCATCAGTGGCAATACTATTGTTGAAAAAACAAAGAGTCATCAAAAAAGGGACAAAAGAAAAGTGCAAAGAAACAATACAACAACTTAAAATCCAATCAATACACCAGGAGTAAATTTAATTGATCCGTAAAGAACAATTATCAAGCAAGTCCTGCTTTATTATTGACTTCTACTATGTATCTACTGTAATACTAATATCAAATAGTCTAAGTTGTTAGTAAAGCTTTGCAACATACCTGGTTCCCGTATTTCTTTAATCTTACTGTTGAACTAAATCAAATTCACAAACCATCAGTACATATAATTGTCTACTAGTAACCACATATGATGCAATGTGAATTAAAAAATTAAATATTACCTACATGAAAGTCAATCGCCTTGTGCATTACCAACCATCTAAACATTTTTCGTATTTTTCTTATTGCAAGTATGGAAAAAAGGCTGATAGAATCATATTGATAAAAGCATGCATAATCAAGAGACAATCTAAATTCACGTTTGGCAATTTTGATAAATAGACCGCACTCATCATGTAAACCAGTATACATAATACGCAAGTTGCTTCAATAAAAAGATATGTTTTCTTGTACCAGTGATCAATAATTCAATATCCAAAGGCTTATTTTCAGTTTTTTTTTTGTCTTAAATAAAAAAAGCCACGTGACCTTTTTTTTATCAAATTGCGTTGATTGTCAGAATCCGTCTGTTCGTCGTCGTGAACTTTTTAAAAGTCGCCTCTAAAATGCCTTGGCCTAATAATACCATATTTCTATATGTTCCGTATTCAATCTGGTTAACAATAACAAATTGTAACCGTTTATTAGATAAATCAACAAAAATTGCCACTGTTGCTCCAACTGAATATAGGGGTAAAAAGTAAAATCACAAAAGTACTGAACTCCGAAGAAAATTTAAAACGTTTACTCCCTAATCAAATAGCAAAATCAAAAGCTCAAACACACCAAACGAATGGACAACAACTGTCATATTCCTAACCTGGTTTTGTAGCTAGCTAAACCTCTTACTTGTATAACAGTCGTATAAAAATTCCATTATATTGACAACGATGTTTGAACAAAACAAACAGACATAATAGGTAGAAATGTCAAAAATAGGGGTACAGCAGTCAACGTTATGTTATTATCATAACCACTATAAAAACAAACAGATATATAAACAAACATTTATCATGACACAATAACGGGATGAACAGAGCCACATCACATGCAAGAAAGAAACACAAAAAGGCACACAGTCAGAGCACATTAGCAAGAACGAATGACAAGAATACAGAAATTATCGTAGAACAATAACACAATGACGGGATGTATAAGTACAGAGCTACGTCATATGTAACCAGGAAACACAAAAAGGCATACAGAAAAAGCATATATTCAAAAATGAAAGAAAAGAATACAAAATTTATCATAGAACAGAATGCAGGTTGGTTTTCTTTTTTTTTTTTTTGCTTATATCGCAAACAATGACCTTGATCCCGGAAGTCTTCTATAACAGGACCTACCTTGTGTTTGTGTTAATGTAGCAATTAAACGTTTAGCAACCAACAACTAATACATGTTGATATCACATGCACTTGACATAGATGTTGATAAGCGAAGCTCAATTCTAAGGGAAAAACGGGACCGAAAACAACTGTTTATTTCAATTTTATCAACATTAAAATTGTATAATTTCTTTATTGACATATATTCCTGAGCAGTGATTTCTAAAATTGGTGCCTTAAAACAATATATGTCTGGCATCATGTTGTGTCGACAAATGCAAAATGAAAATAAATAGCTGACACCACTATTTATGGACTGAGTGGTGTATTAAGATCAGATATCTAAATGTATTTGAAGTAATAAAGCAAAGCATATTTCAATTGAACTGTAATTTGGTTTTTTTTTTGCTTGTTTAGTTTATCGTCGTGGTTCGTTTTTATTTTCAATTTTTATACTTTGTTTCTTAGAAAATATTTTCATAACGGAAAACAAATACATGTACATGTCGTTGCACGTTTTAGAACGAAAAAGGAAATAAGAAATAACACTTGATAAATGTTATGTGTACGGAGTCATTTTTTCTGTTTCCTTCACTAGAAACTTTCAAAATTTGAAAGTCAAGGATGTACCAGTACCTTACTTGGAGAAGTAGGATGAATTCGTACGTAACACGAAGAGAGAAAAAAACTTTATTTTTTAATCATTTTTGACTTAATCAACGGACAATATACGAAACGTATGTAAGAACCATGTCAGTACTGAAACACGTACTGCTAAGCACAGGATGCCCTCAGTTGACTTTAAATCCAACTAGTATTTAAATGAGGTTAGCTTAAAGACTTTTATGCTAGGAGCAAAGTTCTATAGGACATTTTTATCTGTGCTGGTTTTTCTCTTCAAGCAACAAACGATGAACTTATTCTTTCGAATTACAGAATAAGATATATGTCTGTTTGGATAGATGTTACATGGAGATTATTACGTCAATTTAAAGATGTATGAATAAAACCAGTATAAGTTAATTGGTGTATCAATTAGAGTGGTGTTTTTATTTAAATATTAAGGATGTATTCTTTTGACGTTTCAGTCTCGTTGAAATCTCGTTCTGGAATATTTCCAAAACATGTGATACAAATGGAAAATATCAATGAATTTAAAAATATTATAATCAAACTAAACTTTTTGGTGAAAAAATTGTGTAACTTTCTAATTTCATTACCGATCAAGTCAGTCTCGTTAGTCAAAATGTTGAGAAAATGGGTGAGGGATACAAGAAATGATTTTACCAGAAACATGTACATCCCATATCAATTTTTTTCTCTTCAAATTTCTTATATTTTTAGATATGTATTTTTTCAATCATTTATAACAAAGAAGTTGAAATAATATGCTTTTTGTTCTAAAAAAAGAGAAAAATCCCAAATTTACAAAATTGACAGCATGGTAAATTTGACACGAAAAAGCAACAACATTTTATAAAACTTTATTATATTAACACCTACCTATAGGTTTTTTAAGTTTAATTTATTCAGATTGGTCCACTTCATCTTTATTGAAAGTATGGCAAAAAGTTTAATTGTGAACCTGTGATTTTTTTCATGATAATAGCCCAAAAATGGGTAAAAATTTATGAAAAATGGGAAAATCATCAGAATTGGGTACTTTCAAATGGCCGTAGCAAAAAAAGGAGTGCACTACCGTATGATTTTTTCTTCACCAATTATTTTTATTACAGTCATATAAACCCAAAAATCAGGTTAAGAAAAAAAGTTAAATTCTAGAAATTTTTGGCTCCTCAGAGGTGTTCATCCTTAAATTGAAATTAACATCATGCAGAAATACGACCTCCTAGGGTTACTTTTAAGTAAGTATTAAAAGGATAGGTGTTGGCTATTAAAGTGAAGGTTTTTTATGTGCCTTTGTTTTTTAGTTTTCACAAAGAAAGACGATAAAATGGAACGACAAACTGTTTCAATCACTACTCGAAAAAGGCTATATCAATTAAATAAAACGTCTTTGAATGCACAGGGAATGGTAATATTAAATAAGGGTAGTAACATGTTCACGCTAATATCGTGACAAAATGCAGAACAACCATATCATGCAGCATAATGTGTATTGAAAAGCACCAAACATAACAATGGATAGACCTCAAATACCATTTTGTCGGTTTCATCACACCCTTGCTTTACCTAAGAACCAGCTATTTTTGAAAAAATCATAATAGATGGGTATCTAAATATTTTTTTCTCATTTTCAAGGTTCCTAATATTGTTTGATATTGGAACTATTCGTTTTTTGACTTGTTTGTCAAATTAATTCACATTGTTGTTTATCTATGTGGAGAAATAACTCAGATTTTTTTGCTTAAGGTTTATTTAAATATTTATATCTTCTGGTCTACGTCATTACTTCGTCTTTGTCACGCTGCTTCTATTTCTTCTGCTGTTTTTGTTCCTGGTGGCAATATGTACAAATATTCTGAAACGATTGAAAAATGTAAAAATATCAATAAAAAGAAAAGAGTAAAACAAGTGTAATTATCTTTAAATATGCTTTTATATGTGGTAATGACTTACAAGTCCAACATTAAAAAAAAACAAACTTTTTTTATCAATTTGCTTTCTAATCTGAATCTACGGTAAATAGTCTATGCTTGTGCTGATTTTTATTATACGTACTTCAATAACAAGGATGTGTTCTTCGCACAAACACTGATCTACCAGAGTTATGAGGTAGAACTTCTAAAATCGACACTACAGAAGTTTTTTTTTTTCAAGTCACCATTACTAATTCGATGACCAATACGATTTTTTTTAGATTTTGTTAAACTTTGATTTGTATCTTTGTGAAGTTTTTTTATATACTTAAACATGTTAAATCATGCATTAT